ATATACATTCTTCTCAGCAGCCCATGGAACCTTCTCCAAAGTTGATCAAATCTTAGGGCACAGAGCAAGCTCAGCAACTATAAGAAAATAGAAATAATCCCATGCACTCTATCTGACCACAATGCATTAAAACTAGAACTCAACAACAAAAACAACAGTAAAAAACATGCAAACAGTTGGAAGCTGAACAACACATTGCTCAATGATCAACGGGTCATTGAGGAAATAAAAGGTTCCTGGAAGTTAATGAAAATGAAAACACGACCTACCGGAACCTATGGGACACAGCAAAGGCAGTCCTAAGAGGAAAGTTTACAGCTATGAGTGCATATATTAAAAGGACAGAAAGATCACAAATGACCTAATGCTACATCTCAAACTCCTAGAAAAACAAGAACAAGAAAATCCCAAAACAAACAGAAGGAGGGAAATAATAAAAATAAGGGCCGAAATCAATAAAATAGAAACAACAACAAAAAAACCATACAAAGAATAAATGAAATAAAAAGTTGGCTCTTTGAAAAAAATAAATAAGAGTGACAGACCTCTTGCAAACCTGACTAAAATGAGGAGAGAAAAAACCCTAATCAGTAAAATTAGAAATGCAAAAAGGGAGATAACAACAATGGAAATCATCAGAGACTACTTTTAGAAAATATATTCTAATAAATTTGAAAATCTTGAAGAAATGGACAGATTTCTAGATACTTATGACCATCCAAAATTGAAATAAAAGGACATTAATCACCTGAATAGATCTATAATACAAAATGAAATTGAAGCAGCAATAAAGAGTCTCCCAAAAAAAGAAAAGTCCAGGACCTGATGGATTCTCTGCTGAATTCTATCAGACCTTTAAAGAAGAACTGATACCAACCCTCCTTAAACTGTTCCATGAAATAGAAAGAGAAGGAATACTGCCTAACTCATTCTATGAAGCCAGTATTACTCTCATCCCAAAACCAGACAAAGACACTTCCAAAAAGGAGAACTATAGGCCAATCTCCTTAATGAACATCTATGCAAAAATCCTCAATAAAATAATGACAAACCAAATTCAACAACACATCAGAAAGATCATTTACCACGACCAAGTAGGTTTCATCCCAGGAATGCAGGGGTGGTTCAACATATGCAAATCTATAAATGTAATACAGCACATTAATAGAAGCAAAGACAAAAACCACTTGATCATCTCAAAAGATGTAGAAAAAACCTTGAACAAGATCCAACACCACTTCATGATAAAAACTCTAAGAAAACTAGGAATAGAAGGAAAGTACCTCAACATTGTAAAGGCTATATATGACAAACCTACAGCCAACATCATACTTAATGGTGAAAAACTGAAACCATTTCCCTTAAAATCAGGAACGAGACAAGGATGCCCACTATCCCCACTCCTATTCAACATACTACTGGAATTCCTAGACAGAGAAATTAGACAAGAAGAAGAAATAAAAGGAATACAATTAGGCAAAGAAACTGTCAAAATATCCCTATTTGCACACAATATGATCCTATACCTTAAAGACCCAAAAAACTCTACCCAAAAACTCCTAGACACCATAAACAGCTATAGCAAGGTGGCAGGATACAAAATCAACTTATAAAAATGATTAGTTTTTCTACACACCAACAACGAACAAACTGAGAAAGAATATGTGGAAACAATTCCATTTACAATAGCCTCAAAAAAAATCAAATACCTTTGTTAATCAAATTAACAAAGGATGTGAATGACCTCTACAAGGAGAACTACAAACCCATGAAGAAAGAGATCAAGGAAGACTACAGAAAATGGAAAGATCTCCCATTCTCATGGATTGGTAGAATCAACATAGTAAAAATGGCTATATTACCAAAAGCAATGTACATGTTTAATGCAATTCCCATCAAAATTCCAATGACTTTCATCACAGAGATTGAAAAATCTACCTCAAAGTTCATTTGGAAACACAAGAGACCACAAATAGCCAAGGCAATACTCAGCAAAAAGAGCAATGCTGGCAGTATCCCAACACCCAACTTCAAACTATATTACAAAGCAATAACAATAAAAACAGCATGGTACTGGCACAAAAACAGACATGAAGACCAGTGGAACAGAATAGAGGATCCGGATATGAATCCACACAACTATGCCCACCTTATTTTTGACAAAGGCGCTGAAAATATACAATGGAGAAAAGGCAGCCTCTTCAACAAATGTTGTTGGGGAAAGTGGTTATCTGTCTGCAAAAAACTGAAACTAGATCCATGTTTATCACCCTATACTAGCATCAACTCAAAATGGATCAAGGACGTTAATATCAGACCTGAAACTCTGAAGCTGGTTCAGGAAAGAGCAGGAAACACTCTGGAAGTAGTAGGTATAGGCAAGGACTTCCTCAATAGAACCTCAGCAGCCCAGCAACTAAGAGAAAGGATAGACAAATGGGACTTCATAAAACTAAAAAGCTTCTGCACAATAAAAGAAATGGTCTCTAAACTGAAAAGACCACCCACAGAGTGGGAGAAAATATTTGCCAGCTATACATCAGACAAAGGACTGATAACCAGAATATACAGGGAACTCAAAAAACTAAACTCCCCCCAAATCAATGAACCAATAAAGAAATGGGCAACTGAACTATACAGAACTTTCTCAAAAGAAGAAATTCAAATGGCTAAAAAACACATGAAAAAATGCTCACCATCTCTAGCCATAAAGAAAACGCAAATCAAAACCACACTAAGATTCCACCTCACCCGTTAGAATAGCCATCATCAGCAACACCACTAACAACAGGTGTTGGCAAGGATGCAGGGAAAAAGGAACCCTCTTACACTATTGGTGGGAATGTAAACTAGTACAACCACTCTGCAAAAAAATTTGGAGGCTTCTTAAAAATCTAAACATAGATCTGCCATATGATCCAGAAATCCCATTCTTGGGTATATACCCAAAGGAATGCAACACAGGTTACTCCAGAGGCACCTGCACACCCATGTTTATTGCGGCAGTATTCACAATAGCCAAGTTATGGAAACAGCCAAGATGCCCTACTACTGACGAATGGATTAAGAAAATGTGGTATTTATACACAATGGAACTTTAGTCAGCCATGAAGAAGAATGAAATCTTATCATTTGCAGGTAAATGGATGGAACTGGAGAACATCATTCTGGTCGAGGTTAGCCAGGCTCAGAAGACCAAAAATTGTATGTTCTTCCTCATATGTGGACTTAGATCTAGGGAAAATACAGCAATGTGGTTGGACTTGGGTCACATGATAAGGGGAGAGCACACACAGGAGGTAGGGGGATAGGTAAGAAACCCAAAACATGATAGTATTTGATGTCCCCTCTGCAGAGCAAGTAATACAGAAACCTTAAAGCGACAGAGGTCAATATGAGAAGGGGATCAGGAACTAGTGAAAAGATCAGTTAGAGATGAATCAACTTGGGATGTGACACATTTGTACATGGAAGCAATGCTAGGAATCTCTCTGTATAACTCTCCTTATCTCAACTAGCAAAAACTCTTTGTCTCTCTAATTATTGCTTATACTTTCTCTTCAACAAAATTAGAGATAAGGGCAGAACAGATTCTGCCTGAAAGTGAGGGGGGGTGGGGAGAGGGAAGGGGTGGGGGATGGGGGGAGAAATGGCCCAAACAATGTATGCACATATGAATAAATGAATTTAAAAAAAAAAAAGAAAGAAAGGCCAGGCTGCTGTGAAATGGTCCAAAGGACTGAGGATGCTTGGCCACCACAGCCCTTCTCCACGGCTTCTTGATCACTTATCCTCTGGATATTTCATTTGGGAGGCTCTTATTCAAAAAGCATTTTTGGTGTAGATCTCACATGATCAGAACCAGAAAAGGGCAAGATGCCTACATGTTGGGTGAGGCAGCTATGGGGTCTGAGAGCTGACTCTCTTAGAAATAATATGCTGACCTTCACAAGAGGTACTTAGGCCCGGGGAGATGGCAATGACCAAGCTGGAGGAAAATCCAGTGATGAAAGACTGCTCAAGCAACAGTAGAAATGATCCAAGGAGAACTAAAAAACCAAAATAACTTGCTGTCAGCAGAGTTCGCTAAGTTGGAATGGAAGCCATTTTGGACTTCAGCTTAGGCTGCTCAGAACTGCATGATAATTATAGGAGCAGAAAGTGCAGCTTCCTTCCCTTGCCTGTCATTATCCTTCATGGCCCACTCCATAACAGGAGCCAGATTAGCAAGAGGAAAGCATAACAAATGTTTCATCGAAGTTTCATGTGACACAGAAGTCTTCAGAGTGAAAACCTAAAGAGCCAGCGTGAGCTACCCGTTTTTATGCCCATTTCGTGTGATCTACCATTTTATGTTCCATTAGCATGAACAGCCATGCAGAAATGTGATTGGACAAAAATGTAATGATCTAATGAGATAGACCAAGTGGGGAAAGCCAACAAGGCCAGTCGTCCATGCTCTTCTTGTTCTCTCAGTTGTAGCATTTCTTCTTCCAGGGCAGAAGGCAAGACCCCTCCAGGTATAGGGCAAGACATCTCCAGAATGAACACCATTAGCACCTTCATCCAGAAAACAGTCAGTCAGAGAATTTCCTCATGGCGAAAAAATAAAGGTGGGGAAAAGAGTATTATTTTTAGGCTTTATGACTTGCTTTGGAAAAAAGACATTCCAGTTTCAATGACCTGCCTTGGAGAAGAGGATTTCTGGTTTTTCTGACTCACTTTCAGGGGAGAATGAGGTGCAAGAAGAAGGGGAGAGACCTTGGTTCTGCAGCTGCTGTTGAGGCCTTCCAATATCCTTTGGTTGAAAGTAAGCAACATGCCACACCACCATATTTTAGGGGGTCATTTTCTGAGCCCCAACAATAACAGTTGGAAGAAGAACTCTCAGCAATGGCTGTCCAGGGGAACAGAACACCTAAAAGGAAGTTGGGTCCTTTTTAACTCTCTCCAAACAGAGAAACTCTATTGCTTACACTGTGATCAAAGCTGGCCAGTTTGGCAGAAATGCCTTTCTCATTTTCCTCCATCTTTCCTTTCTTGGGGCCTCTGAAGAAGGTCTCCCACACTAGAGAACTGTGAGGTAGTGGATGCCCTTGCCTTGGTGACATCTTGTCTGCTCTTCAGCTGGAGGAAACTTGGCCCTTGAGGTGAAATGGAAAGAACATTGAGTTTAGAGTCAGAAGACCTGGTGTCAAATGACACTGGCCATGGTACTTAAACTCGCGCTGTTTATTTTAGGACCTGCCCCAAAGTAAGAGTGCTGCCCTTGTCTAGGCCAGTCACACTCTCACTCTTTTTATTGCAGTGTGAAATAAAGCACAAGACGCCAAGAAACATAACAAAGAAGGAATTTCATTCTCCTACTCTTTTTGGAAGGCAGGTCCTATCAAATCCACATGTTATCTGGCTGCTCCTCTCTTGGCCTCATAGTTGTATTCCACACCTTACTGAACGCTCCAGAGCTGGCTCACTTTACTTGCCTTTGGGACCAAAAAACAAGCTATGACCAAGGCTGTATTCCTGCCAACTTTCCTGAGGGCAAAGGATCCTGACTTCTATATCTTTCTTCAGGGTAGAAGATTAGGGTTAAAGGTGATATCCAATCCCAATGTTCTTACCTCAGAGGGGAACAGTGCAACAAACTTCCCTCTAGTCTTTACTAGAAATACTTTTCAACAAGCAAGAAAAACTATAAAGAAAGAGAGAAAATTAGTTGGAAATTTGTAAAATTTCACATACTATTCCTTACTGTTAATACATAGCACATGTTCTAAAAAGCTATCCAAAATCTCAGGGGATGCAACTCACTCCAAAAGCCCATACTGGCATATGTACTTTCACTTTTGCTTTGTGGTAAAAGTTCTTTCCCAAAAGTTCCTTACTTTGTCTCATCTCTGAATTCTTTCTCTGATAGTGACAAGAATCTGGAAAATTGAGTAAATGTCTCAATTTCCCTATCTCTTGGACCTTCCCAGACTCCCGCTACCAGCAACATTTCCACAGTGAGAAGAAGTTACAGAAGAAGGGAAGGTGACCCAAGAGCTGATGCAGGATTCAGCCTGCAGGGGACAAGACATGACGTTAGGTGTGAGTAGCCTCTTCAGCATTCCCCTAATCGTACTCTGTCCTGCTCTGGAGCTCACCGAGTCCCCTTACAGCTGACTCCACTGGCCACAGACAGCCAGAGAGATTAAGGGACCTGCTTAGGTCACATGTTAACCCAGAGACTGAGGCCATGATTCATCTTGGTTTGCACCATAGATGGTTATTGCAGGAAAAAACATTTTGAGACCCATCTCTAAACAGTTCTAGAGATAGCAGTGTGCAAAGTTGCCCACATATCCAGAAGCATTTTGAATGGTGGTGTGAGAACCTTTCAGGCCAGTGTGGATTGCTGTATGTGACTAGTGGCTTGGACGAAAGTCCAGTAGGTCTGAGCATCAGCTGCCATTGAGCAGAAAGGACAATGATGTGACTATGTTCAGAATGCCAATCACAGCTCTTTTTTTGTGAATAAAATATTTTATTTTATTTTTATTATTGTTGTAATAATAAATATATTTATTTATTATACATGGGGGGTACATGTGACACTTATAAAAGTTCTTAAAATATATCATAATTGAATTCATCCCCTCCATCATTCTCCTTTACTCTCCTTCCCTGCATTCCTGGAACAGTTTCAACAGGTTTCATTTTTCCATTTACATACCTGAGTACACAATATTTCCATCAACTTCACCCTTCCCAGGAGCTCTCGTCAGGCCAGCACTCACCACCCAGCAAGCCTGAGAAGACAAAATTCCATAGGAATGAATGTGAGGTTCTGCAGGTGAGCTGAAAGGCAAGCAGAGCGGGAAGGAAACTTAAATGTTTAACTTCCCTCCTACACTTCGACTTTTAGTCTTGGTGGACTTGTGCAAAATCTTGGGGCTGAGATAAACATACAACATGACCTATCCCAACCAATTCCTGCAGTGGCATGAACCGTGTGACCCACGTGCAATTCATTGCCCACCCAACTCTGGCAGGGCTATACCTGAATGTACTGACTGTGAACGTTCACACAAGTATTTATCCTCTCTGCTTCCTTACTTCAGTGTGGAGTAGAAAGTCAGTGCCTGCTCATGACAACTTTTCAATAAACACTAAGTATCATCTGCCTACTATTTATACTTTTGTGGGAATCTGCATGTAAATGAACTACTATAGTTTGAACATTGAATGTTTCCGGAAGACCTTTGTTCCCAGACGGAGGCGCTATTGAGAGGTGGAGGAATTTTTAGGAGGGAGGACCTAGTGAAAGGAAGGGAGATATTGGCATCTCAGACCCTCCTCTTCTTCTCCCTTTGTTTTCAAGCTGCCATAAGATAAGCAGTTTCCTCCACTATGCCTTCCCTCCCATGATGTACTGCCTCAACATAGGCCCAAAGGCAATGGTGCCAAGTACCATGGACTGAAACCATGAGCAAAAATACACCTTTCCTCCTTTTAAGTTGGTTATCTCAGGTATTTTGTCACAGTGTCAGAAAGCTAACACATGAATATTGATATAATTAAGTTTAGAAATATATATATAGTTATCATATCTATCTATCTATATACACAATTATGTAGGATAAAGAAGAACAAGATTCTGTCTCTGAAAAAAAAATCCATTTAAAAATCCTGGAGGTTTTAGTGAATGCAAACCCAACAGGAACCAAGATGTGACTAGGCTGTGAAGCAAGCTAACAACACTCCACGCTGCATTAGAAGTGTCTAGAGAGGAAACAGCTCAGTGTTTTCTGGGTTAATCAGATCATATTTAGGCCACTGTTCCCAGCTGCAAGTCACAGCCAAGCTGACATCCAAAATGGTGGTGAATTGGAAGTCTTGTCTTTTAAGGAAATTTCAAGGCATATTGAAAATTCAAGGGATATTTAGTCAAGAAATACTTGGGTGCCAGGGGTGGAGTTCAATGTAGTATCTAAAGTCTGTCATAAGGATGACAAAGAATAATTAAAATAGTAAATAGATGGAAGTTAATATGCTAGGATGCATATTTTACTTGATATAAGGAAGAAATTTGTAGCATTCACAGATATCCACAAAGACATGGTTTTCCACACTGCATAGAGTTGCTCAGCACTATAGGAGTAACTAGCTGCTATAAAATGGTAATAATTTCTGAATTTAAGGTAAAAATTCCTGCCTTTAATAATTTGAAATTATAAAAGCTGCCATTATTATCTCTAAATCTTTTAACTCTGTAAGACAAAGCATATTGTCTTCATTTTATAAGAAAACTAAGGCTCAAAAGTGGTTATTTAACAGACCCATGGTCATACATCTATTAACTAATGAGCCCAAATTCAAATCTAGTTCTCACCTTAAATTGTATATTCATTTCATTATGCCATGATACTAACCTGTCATTTCATTTTTTCCCATTGTTTCTGTCACTCCACCTATACATTCTATGTCCACCTGATTGGTCAAGATTAAATCCACAGTTGCCAAGTTCCTTCCTTGCTTTATCTACTTCTGGTCAAAGTTGTTTGGATTTTTTTTTTAAAAGTACTCATCGAGCTGCTATGTAGGAAAAATACAAACAAAAAAATAATAGTTTCATGAGTCAAGTTTTTTGAAACACATACAAGAAAAATACCTTAAACCCTTAAATGGAAGGCAAAATATAGAACTTAAAAACTCAAATTAACACAGGATCAGATTGGCAATGGTCTCCGTGGAATAAAATGAGCACACACTCTGTCCTGCTCCCTCTGCATGGTTATCATCCTGGTGCTGCAGCTGACCATGTGGGGTTCTAACTCCTGGTCTGGAGAAGATGCTGGGACCTGTGTCAATGTCAAGGTCATTGGGAGCAGCAAACCAAGGGAAATTTTCAGGTCTTCCAGGAATACAAGTGCTGATATTAATGGAAAGCCAGTCCTTGGCCTCAGTGGCAATTTACAAACAATGAGAGCAGGGTTTAAGGAAATAAGGTTTATTATTCATCAGATGAAGAGGACAGGGAGATACTACCTCTCAAAATTCCATTGTCCCACTTCTGAGAGAAAATGTCCACTTTTTAAAGGTGAGTTCTGCGGTTGGGTTGGAGTGCATAATGAAACACATGTCTCACGATAGGTATTGGCCTTGGTTCTCCCTGTGCAAAGGTGCCACATATCCAAAGCTGTATGTCTTGGCTGACAGGTTTACTCCCTGGAGGTCAGAGAGAGATAAGGGGGAAGAAAATGCTTGGTTTAATTGAAGAATAAAGAGGGTTAACCTTGGTCCTCCAACATGTAGAGAATCAAAAGAGAAAATGTCAGTTTGAACAAGCAGAGTAAGCTGGCCAGTATGCAAGCTGGCTGCACCAAAAGTTTTTCCCTTAGTCCCAGTTACATTTTCCCCACTGTCGATTTGTTCCTTCCATTTCTGTGGAAAACAGGCATCACGATCATTCAACTGCTTCCTGCCTTTAGTTAATTCGTGGGCCCAAGTAAGGAGTCAGTGCTCTCAGCAAAAGCAGCTTTTAGCACCTATTACAGTGAGAAGTTCTTTGTGAGCACACAGTCTGCTTCCTTCTCATTTTACACAGGAGGAAATTGAGGCCCGGGGAGGCAGAATGACTCTCTGTAGGGCCCAGAGTAAATTGGTATCAGAACCTGGGACTAGAACCTGGCCTCTGCCTGACAGCAGTGTGAGCTATATTAAAGTTGCAGAAGCCAGGTCCCACCCTGGCATTAATGAATACCTGTGGACATTTTTAATGCTATAGAATAATTCACTGTGTCTACATGATTAAGCAATTGCACAATTGCTTTTTTACTTGCCTTTTTAATTACCAGTTAATTTTTGTATTTGTGCTTTTCTGTTTACTTTTCTTTCTTTTTTTTTTTTTTTTTTGTGGTAGTGGTGTTGAACTCAGGGCCTACACTTGAACCACTCCAGCAGCCCTTTTTTGTGATGAGTTTTTTTGAGATAGGATCTCGCAAACTATTTGCCTGGGCTGGCTTCATACCAAGATCTTCCTGATCTCTGCCTCCCGAGTAGCTAGGATTATAGGTATGAGCCACCAGCACCCGGCTCTGTTTGCTTTTAAAACAGCTTTTCTGAGATATAATTCATATATCATACAATTCACTAATTGTATGTACATTTCAGTAGTTTTCAGCTTATTTGGAGAGTTGTATGGCAATGAATTGTCAGAAGCCCCACACTCATTAGACACACTCTCCATTGTGTCTCAACCTCTTCTGCCCCAGACAACCACTGATCTATTTTGTCTTTCTACAGATTTGCCTGTTCTGAGCATTTCACTTAATGGAATCATACAATCTGTGGTTTCTGTGACTGGCTTCTTTCACTAAGCATAATGTTTTCATGATTTAGCCATGTTGTGACATGGGCCAGTATTTCATTCCTCTTTATTGTCAAATAACATTACATTGTATGGATATGCCTCTTTTTTAAAAGTCTTTTCATAATTTGGTGAGCATTTGGGTTATTTCCACTTTTCACTATTATAAACAATGCTGTTGTGAACATTCATGTACAAATTTTTGTGTAGGAATACGTTTTCTTTTGCCTTGGATATATACTTAAGAGGTAGAACCACCAGGTCATATGGTATCTTCATTTTTAAGTCTTTGAGGAACTGCCAACATGGCCGAGTCTTTTTACATGTGTGATGACGTGTAATAACAGTATGGAACAGTGATGGTTCCAACTTCTCTGTGCTTTCACTAACACTTGTAATTGTTGTTTGCTGTTGTTGTTGTTTGGCAGTACTGAGTTTGAACTCAGGGCTTCACGCTTGCTGGGCAGGTGATCTGCCACTTAAGCAAGGCCTCCAGCCCTGTAATTGTCTTTTTTTATTATAGCCATGTAGATAAGTGAAGTGGTATTTGATTGTGACTTTGATTTCTATTTTTCTGATCTATCGACTTTTTATGTTTTATATCAACTTTTAGACATATGACTCCTATATCTTCTTATTGGAATACAACTTTTCCAATGAAATAGGCTTGTTATTGCCTGTTACGGCCAGGCCCCAGTGGCTCATGCCTATAATCCTAGCTACTTGGGAGGCTGAGATCAGGAGGATTCCAGTTCGAGGTCAGCCCATGCAAACAGTTTGTGAGACCCCATCCCCAAAATAACTAAAGCAAAAGTGGACTGGAGATGTAGCTCAAGCAGTGGAGTGCCTGCTTTGCAGATGTGAAGCCCTGAGTTTGAACTCTAGACCCACCAACAAAAGAAAAAGAAAGTAAAAAAGACAAAGAAATAGCCCTGTTATTCCAGAACATGCTTCTTGCCTTAAATTCTATTCTGTCTGATGCTGTTATATGTATTTTTTGGTTTTGTTAACATTTTCATGGCATATATTTTATGTCATTTTGTTTTAGAGAAATTCATATATAACACAGAGCTGATTTATTCAGTTAGTTGTTGTAACACTGAATTGTAATAGAAAATAGCCAGTTTATACTTATATTGATTACTATAGGCTTTAAAATATCATTAAATTTACTATGGTTTATTGGAACCTTTTCTTTCGTGGCTTTTGTAAGATTGGCTGAATTACCCTTACTCCATTTTGTTCTTTTAGTGGTTTTCCTTAAATATTTTAAACACATATTTAAACACTCATTTCTGTTAATTAGTATCTTTAACTTCTTTCCTGAGAAGGAAAAGAAATTTAACAAGCTTCTCTTTTGCCCTATTCACTCCTGCCACCTCTCAGGTCACAATTATCTGGGATTTCAGACTCAAAATGAATATTATTAATAGTAACTATAGCAACTAGCATTTCTAGCACAACTTACTCTATTCTACCACTTGTTTTAAATAACTTATTAGCATTAATTCTCCGATATTACTAAAATGTGTAAAAGGCACACATTACTTGTTATATAGGCAATACATGGAAGTCAAAGGATGATGAACACACATGAGTCAGTTGATGAAAATTAAATAGAACGTTGGAATCATAGGCATTTTTAAGAGGTATAAATATTAGCAATGGAATAAAAATTCAAACATTCCTCAATACCAAAAGAATTTCTTAAAGTAAAAAAAAGACAAAGAAGATATATAGAGAAACACAGTAAAATATAACCCAATGCACATAGTAATTATAACAAAATCTTACAGAGTTGTAAATGAAACCTAGAAGTCATATTTATATGCAAAATTAACTTAATTCAGCAATAAAAGGAAATAACTTTCTGTTTGGCTCACAGAGCAAGACCCAGCTCTATGCTTTATATAAAAGTCCTACATAAAGTGATTTAGAAAGGATTTCAAAGGGGAAGGTAAACTAAGGAACACATGGGAAATCGAAACAATAAGAAAGCAGGATTTGCCATTCTGACATCAAATCAATCCAATTCAAGCCAAAATTTGTTAAGTTGACAAAGGACACTTGTAAATAATAAAAGTCACAATTTAAGATGAAGATGCAACTGTTAGGAGAAACTGTGTACCAAGTAATAACAGCAACCACAATTAACAGAAACTAAAGGAGACAGGAGAAATAGATGATGATAATAAAGGGTTTCAACACATTCTTCTAGATCAAAAAATATGGATATAGAAGACTCAAGGTACCTAATCAGCAAGGCAAATCTTATGGAGACGAAAACATATATGTATGACACTGACAGACAAGGATGCTCTTAGTCCTAGAAAGATGGAATGCACTTCACTAAATCCTATAGATCCATGTGTGGCACCTGGGGCAAGTGGTGTCATGATGTAAACTCCAATGGGCTTAAGCAGCTCTGTCCTTATGGTCTTGCCATTTGTAGACCACATGGCTTCTCTCTAGGGTTGGTTTACTCATTGCCTACATGCAGCTTTCCTAGGTAGATATTTCATATTCCTGGCATCTCTAACATCCTGTGATCTCCATTGCAGCTGTGGTCACCCTCACAGCTTCACACACTGCCTTCCTAGGTCCTGCCTACAGAGACTATGACCCTGTCACACATTGCCTGGTTTTACAGGCCTTCCTTTGAAATCCAGGAGGAAGCTTCCATAATCTCATAACTCTCGCATTCTGCATACCTACAAAATCAGCACCGTGTGGATGATGCCCAGGTCTTCTGTTTGCTTGAATGGTAGCCAGGTCCTCTTGGACCTTGGCTGCACTGGTCTCTGAGTGCCTGGGCTGAGCATGGTGAAATAAACCTGGGGAAACAACTTTGTAGGCAGCCTTGGGACATCAGGGTGTTCCTGCGGCACTCTCTTCTCAAGGTAAAGTGTTTCACATGAATTTCCCCTTTCCTAACCTTGATCCTGTCATGGGTAGAGACTGGTCAATTCCTGAGATACCCTCAAGGCATCTTTCTTATTGTCCCAATACAAAGAACTTGGTTTCTCTTTAATGACATGAATCTCTTCAGAAACCTTTCCTTCCTCTTAGCTCCAGCTTTACACTGGCTTTTCCAAGTTTTTCTCCTCTGCTTTTTGCTTCCCATTCTAACTGTAAACCTGGCTAAAAGCAGCCAGAAATAACCATGCCACAGCAAGAATGCTGGACTGCTTTGAAATTTCCTCTGCCAGATTAATTAGTCTAGATTAATTAGTTTAGTCACCTTAAAACAGACTCCCACAAAGTTTCAGGTCACAGAAAAAATACAAACAAGTTGTTTGCCAGGATGTAACATGAACCGCCTCTAGCATAAGTCCTAATAGAATTCCTATTCCCATCTGAACAAACACAGCCTTTGTTGTTCACATTTCTTTCTTTCTGTATTCTGGTCTTTTGAGCTCCCACCAGTCAACCAATAAGGTGAGCTTACTGCCTTTTAGGGCTTCTCTAGCTCACATCTGCAAATACTTCCAAATTCTTTACACAAACCAGTTCCAAAGAACCACACAGGCAGATTTAATCACACCATCTACCCTACCCTCAGTACCAATGTTCTGTATTCGTTACTTTTGCATCGCTGTGATGAAATACCTGGCATAAAAAACTTAAAGGAGGAAAGATTTACGTGACCTCACAGTTTCAGATATTTCAGTCCAATGTCCTTGACTGTTGTGATTCTGGGCCCATAATGAGTCAGAACATCATGGCAGATGGAGCATTGGTACAGGATACTCATCTCATGGCAGACAGGAAGCAGAGAGAGCTGTTATAGGTTCTGCTACTCTTAGGGATGATTGACATATACAGGAAAACAGTGAACAGAAGGGAATTTATGAGCAAAACCTGCATTATAGCAGGGCATCATGGGAATTTGAGGTGGGAGGAGTCATCTGAGGCAATTTGGTGGAGGGGAGGTTCTTCAGGGTCTCTGTCATG